ACTATGAAATTCTCATAAAAAACAACCTGTGGGGCCTGTGCCTTTGTACATTGTATAAATGTATAATCATACAAATTAATATCTACAGAGATTATGCATATGAGAGTGAGTCGTTTATAGTAGATAGTAGTAACTAATAAGCGACGTTTAAAGGATTTGATTTCGGCGGGGATGGGGGGTTGCAGGGGCGTCCTCAGATAAATTCCATGGGAGGGGCGAAAACAGTTTAGTCTTGAATATCGCATTGCTAAACAAAGACTTAATGTCTGTATGTTTAAATAATCTATTATGTTTGTTGTTTGTGTCCATGGTCTGTATAATCATTAATCAGTGTACAAATAATTAACCAATTGTATAAGATGTGTTGAGCTATTAGCAAAATAGAACATCTCACGTCTTATGGAGGTGGTGGTCGCCCCCTTCGCTCCCCTCTTAGGGACGCCCCCTAGTAGTTGTAGTAATCCTGAGGTCGAGATTCCTGACAGTATATTATTATTAATTAATAGTATTTATAATAATTTCTATATAGGTACCTGGTCTTAGTTTCGATAGGTATTCCTTTTTTTGACACCCGTGTTGGTACTACCATTGATTATACAATACACTATTGTATAATCAATATTCAATGGTATTAGGTATATCAAGTGTATTATATTATCAATGGTACCGGAGCCGGTAGGCATAGGGAGCTTCTATAAACTTATATTACTCTAACTGGCAACCGGAGCCTATAGGCGACGGGAGGTCCCTTGAGTTTGAAGACCAGAGCGGCAGAGCCACTATATACTCGTGTTACTTCAACTAACAAGGTTAAAATTACTTGTTAGGTCATCCGTCTGAATTTAATTATAAAAATATTTTTACTTCATAATATAACAAAATATTTAGTAGTTTAGCAGTTAGATATATTATTTTGTATAGATTTATGGGTACTAATTTATTTTTGTTAGTGTGTCCCATATAATATATGTGTACCTATATGGCTTTATTTTTTAAAAGTTTTTCGAAATTTACTATACAATTATGCAGAAAAAAGGTTACACGTTGACAGTTATAAAATATTACCTAGAATGTAATGTAGGATAATAATCAATCGGTATCTTATACTTTCTGGCAAAGTTCTGTTGCGTTCAAGTCAAAAAAGCTTGAGTCAAATAAAATCCAGACAAGCAGAACAATTTTGGAGCATCGTTATCGTACCATTTCTTAATATTACAATGAATAATTTATTATTACCAATATGAAAAAGTAACAACTATAATATGTTATGTATGATTCATATTTTTAAATTGTGTCCATTATTATTAGATAATAATATAATATATTATAATAATATTAGATATTGGCTGTAAATGAAGTATAATATCTGATATTATAGAATATAGTATATAATCACTGTTTAGGTATGTACATTGTACGTACAATACCTATTCTATTCAGATTTTATGAAATATAAGTCGTGCAGAGATAAATTAATAATTGTTACCGTGATTGGATTAGAGTTATACCCTGTGTAGGTTTAATTATATTAAATTATAATATTTTAAAATGTTCAAACGTAGATTATTGTTATTAGACATAAGTAATATTTTAGATTGATCAGAGCATTTTTCTTTGTTTTAAATTTACTATTTTACGTACCTAATTGGTTGTCCATTTATATAATACTAAAGCTAATAATCTAACTTGCAAAAACGCCTTTCTCTGTAAGAAATCTTTCACATAACTCCCCGGTGGTTTTAAAGATGGATAGGAATTTCTTGCCCAAGCTGTCGGAATTTTTCCATTTATGATACTCTGACAAAGTTCTTCCAGTTCATTAGATATTAATATTAGACCTAATAACAAAATTACACACATATTATTATTCATGTAGTTTTAGAGTCAAAACGTTGATTGTATTTTGTGTTGTTTCAAAAACCAATTTTTTATGCGTATAGTGTGTTCACAGCAATATTGATACAAGTAGATCATTATATCTTGTTTAATAAAGAAGACTACGATAGGTATATAAACATTATGGTTTAGTAAATATCATAAGTAATGACTAATGGTCAACAGCGGATCAGACGAATATACAAGAACAAGTTAATATTTAAATATTTTCAGTAGGTACCAATAATTTGTTATACACTTTTATTTAATCAACGCCATGACAAACCTTAGATAGCTTTTTGGACATTAATTAGGCTTGATGTTATTACGTTCAAAATATTATTGAATCGTCCCATTTCTTGAATAAAAACTGTGTTCATGGACTGCTTGTAGGTAGTATAGGGTATTTTTCTAATGCAAGAACTGTGTCAAAAGGAATCGGAAGTTTATTTAGAACATCTACAGCAAATATAATGATAAGTCCTTCTGATACTCCTTTTCCTTCCTTTGAACTTTCCATATTCTATATTTTGTATGCGTTTAGCAAATATAATAAACCATAATAATATAATCATTATCATGTATAATGATGAATGATTAAATATATGCGAAATTTATACGTCATTATCTTCATAACAGTATTCTGAATCAGAATCAGAGTAATATAGAATATTAAAATAAAATTATCGATTTAAAAATTGAAAAACCCAATAATATTAAAGGATTAGGTAAATGTTAGTAAATGGTTTTATTTTTCTTACAAAAATATATATTATCATTAAAATGTTATAACTTATAACTTATCAGTAAATACAATTATGGAATAAAATTGTTACGACTGAGATAATGCTTGATATATTTATTTGTACCACTTTGAATATCTGTTATAAATTATAATGTACTATACTATTATGTACCTATCTGGCTATCTATGTATTTACAATAAAACAAAGATAAAAATAAAACAAGAATTTATAACCTATGTACAATTTAAAATTGAATTATTTAATACCAATTTATTAACAATCTATTACTATGAAGGTTTGGAAAATATTTTTCTGATAATGGTTTTATGGTATGATAAATATTCAATGTTCTTGAATTACAACATTATGGACACTATTGGTGTACGATGTACGCACCTGAGTACTGAGCACAGGAGTAAGAAGAATGTCAGATTCTTGTTGTTCTTTAATGAGATCTGCATTCTCGACTCTCGTTCATACCAAATATGCTGGTCGAGTGATTGAATCAATATTATAATAGTAAGGCTTCACCCTTCAGCCTCCCTAAATCTCAAACGCTATTTGTGCCTATGCAACCTACCTAGTGATGTAAATTTGTATAATACAAATGTATAAAATCGTATTATACTGGTATTATACATGCTGTATAGAATTATTTTATACAACGGTATAAAATCTGTATAAAACTTTTTTTTTTTTTTCGCTAAGTGGTTAAAATAAGAGGTTTTTCTAATCTTTTTTTTTTTTTTTTTTTGTAACAACCGTTAACTACAAACTTGTATCTACATTGTACTGTTAATAACTCTTAACTCAAGACTACTAAGTACTAACAAGTAACAAGTGTGAAGTAAAAGTTAAAATGGGACGGCCTGATAAATATAAAGAAGCTGTTACTAAATATTTTAAGAAATCACTGACAAAAAAAGGTAAATCAGAATACTTTGAATGCACGTTTTGTTTAAATTATGTTTAATTTATGTCTATCTGATTCTGAAGACGATTATTAAAAATCTATTATTTTATATTTACAAACAAAAAAAGGTTTATTTTATTTTCTATTATTTTTTTTTTTTATACTAAACAGGAAACTAAAAGACTTAAGTGTTAAAATTGTTGCTATAACCTATAAAGTATTACTATTTACTATTGTTACTTTTTTTACATTAAACATTTATTTTAGTTATTATTTAGAGAAAAAAACCAAAAGAGTTATTTATGTTTATTAAAATTGTTAATTATTACTTTACTTGTTGACTTTGTTATTACTTTTGAATTTAATTTATATTATTATTAATTTATATTACTATATTATTTGTATTAATAAGACTCAATTTTCAAATAGGAAATGGACAATGGTTGAGTAATCAAGTTTAAATTGAATATTATATATTTAAATACAGGATTTTATACCGTATAAAATGTGTATAATACAAAATATTATTATACCCTACTTAAGAGGACGCCACACCCGCATGTGTTGTCTCCGTCTTACAAACGCGTAACATAACAAATTACGTCCACGGAAAACAAACGAATCGGCATCAAAAAGTGGTTTTAGAGTAAAAATACCTATAATAAAACTTAAAGAGAACAATATTTCGGAGGGAACCTCATCGGGGTTTTGTATTAATCTAAATACACAGCTAGATATTGAAGGCACAAAAACTCTTTTTTTTAATTTTTTTAAATAACCACAACTTTTTTAATAGTTAATATTTTTAAAAACGCCGATGAGGTTCCCTCCAAAATATTGTTCTCTTTAAGTTTTATTATAGGTATTTTTACTCTAAAACCACTTTTTGATGCCGATTCGTTTGTTTTCCGTGGACGTAATTTGCTATGTTACGCGTTTGTAAGACGGAGACAACACATGCGGGTGTGGCGTCCTCTTAAATACAATAGTATTATACAAAGTTTAATACAGTATAATACAAAAATAAAATAAAATACCGTATTTTAACAACACTAAACCTACCTAAACATAATTTATGTTAAGAAATATTTTTGAATGATAGTCAAATATGATTTTCCTGCTCGTGGTACGTACACAAAAATATAAAAAAATTTTAAATTTGTACAAATATGCTAAAAATTGCTCAAATATGCACTTTTCCTAAAATATGACGAAATATGCAAAGATATGGAAATTCAAACTTTGTATTTAATTTCACCATTTCATGAAACAAATTTATAACTTACCTACAGAATAATCTACGACCACTACAAAAAACATGTAAACAGAAGGAGTCTCGAACACTACAAATGAGTTATGAAAGTTATGAATTAATAATTATATTATTTCATTCTGTGGGGAGAGGGGTCGAGACCCGGGGAATCCCTGAAAATACACCACAGAGTTAAATAATTCATAATATATTTTTACCTTATCCACTGCATTAAACATTTGTTTTCAAAAGGTTTAACATATGGAGAAGATTTCATCGTAGCTGTTTTTAATATGTGATCATCAAGTAGTAATTGTACATCATCTATACCCGATAAAATATATGTTCCCGAATCTCTAAAACATAAAATTAAATTATCTTCGTCTTACAACTATTAAACTTTTAAATTATGTATATTATACTTGTAGTCTAATATGGTAAAGTTTAAATCTTTCCATTCCTCCACCATAGTATTTAGCCTCTTATCCAAATTATTTTCTTTGGAAGCTCCATCACTAATTGTTTCAAATTGAGGTACAAATTTCCAGAGGTTGAGATTTAAAACTTTTGCCATCGTTAGATTTTGATTGGGAAGCATTACAAAACCGACTATATTTGAAATATCTTCCCAGTGACGTCGTTTAAGAAGTAAAATTTCCCAATGTTAAATGTTAATGTACTTCTGGGATTTTTTTTTTTAATGTTTCGATCAATGTCCGCATCTGTATACATAGTATATTATCATGTTTAACAATTAACATTAATATTCATATATGGTTTAATTTTATGTTTATTTAAAAAAAATTAGTTTAATGATATTTGTACCTTTAATGTTAAAATAATTTAATTAAATAGTAAAATACAAAATAAATATTATTTATGTTGATTTACCGCAATGATGGGTTTGTTGTTTTTATCGCTTAAACGAGATACTATTATGGAGAGGTTAACGTTTATGAGGGACTGAGTACTATTGTACCTATCATTTTTGTGCTTATTTATATAATTATATGTAGGTAATGATTTATATCTGACGAGATTTAAACATTTTATGTTAGGTTTAATTAATATTCGATCAGCAAAGTAACATAGTACTTTTCAGTTTTTTGACTACCTGTGTTTATAATTAACTTTGACTTTCGTAAGTATTAAAAACAAAATACAATATTGTAGGTATACCCTTCAGGGACATCTGTTAGAATTAAAATTAAATTAAATAAAACTTTGGTGAACATTTTTAAACTAGGTATTTTTGACTCTTAAATTACTAAACTACTTAATACTTATGATATAATAAAACTTTATTTAAAAAAAAACCTTAACTGACCAAATTGGGAGTTTTTGATTTTTATATCATAGCAATATAATATTACTAAATTATTTTATTCAAACCTAACAAAGACTTAGATAATATGTCTAATAAAATACAGTGTTTTGATTGCGCCTAATCAAGTATCAACTGTTCTATTTGTATTATTTTGTTATTATTCTTATTCCCATTCAATATAAATAATTTACTTGATATTATTGTTCATAATATAGGCTATAGCTTACCTAATATTACACAGAATAAAACCATCACCACCTTTTTAATTTTAAACTAAAAATAGTAGACTTATATAATATCGATGTTGATATTTACTGTTAATTACAGGTTAAACATTTAAGTACTTAAATAACTCAAAAGATTAATAAAATCATAACACGCACATATTATCTATTAAACAAATATAGGTATGATTTGCACTATAGTTATTACCTACTTATTAGTTACCTATTACTTATTACCTTACCTATTAATTATTTATTAGAATGATGTAGGTTGTTTCATAGGTTGTTTAATAAATTGAAACATGAGTTTCTTTTTACCAAGAGTAACTAGGTTTTTATGGTTTGGGATTCAGATAACGTTAAATGTTTTAATAATTTTTATTTTATATTTTAATGATAAATTAGTAGACCGATCACTTAGATCAATGGCAGTGGCGGTCCTAGCTTATGGGCAGGGTGGGCAGCTGCCCATACCAAAATTTCTGGTGCCCCTTATTGGGGAAGGGGGAGGAAATGAGGAATATTATTCGCAGTTAAAACCTAATTATAAATCTACTGTTGTCCATATGAAAATATAGTCCTAGAACTGCGCCTGATCAATGGACCAACGTACAGCTGATAATTTGTGTGCGAAACTGGGTAAGCCACACGACTACTGACTGTTGACAAAACTAACCATATTGGTATACCTATGAACTACTACTTACCCAAACTGTTATTATTAATAATAAAAAAAGAATCATTATCAATATTATACGATGTTTAGTGTTTATAATATTACTTTTATTGCAATACCCAATGGGGCAGGGTTTTTCATGAATGATCGTTCGAGTTTTGATAAGTTACGATAATAATAAGTCACATTTTGATCCATCTGCTCTGGGTCGTATGTGCCAATGGTACCATTCATCCAGTTTTCATGATTTACGATCAACTCTAAACAGTTATCATAAAGCAGTTTGTATGGCACTAAAGATAAAAAAAATCTGCAACCTTAAACACACACTCGTTGCTGTAATAAATTTTTCGTACAACAATTATTATTTATGAACAATGTAGGTATATTTACAAATTTCCGAAGTGGATATGCACTTTCCTAAAATGAAAGTATTTTTCTTGTTTGTTGAATCCATTAATTGTCTCCAAATTTATCATCTAAGTTTTGAGATTTTTCAGCATATATTCTTATATCATTTATGTCCTCCACAGGGTCGTTATTTGGGGGGGGGGGGGGGGTGCAGGGTATACATTTGCACCAACTTTTTTTAAAACTCCTTCTTTGGCCTGGCAACAATAAATATAAACGCCGATATACCTAAGTGTTTTATATTATATATTATATTTTATATTTTTTCAGTATTAAAACAAATGGATTGCACTAATGTTTAATTTCCAAGAATGTTTGTTGTGGTTTTGTGGTCCCACAATATTATAATTGATAAAATTATAACACGAACATTGTGAAGAAGGGTACTCATAAGACAAATTTCTGGTTTTATTAAGCTAGCTATATTATATATTTTGAGTAGGTATGCAGAGAGAAAAAATTTGGAGGTTAGGTTCAGTTAGGTATTTTATTTTAAAGGTGTTTTATACCATTACATTTATTTACCAAGTGTAAATACCACTGTACACTGGTATCCACAATATAAAATAAATACATTAAAAGTACCTATACATAGTTCGTCAAAAATAGTAACAATTTTGTGATATTTTCATACTAATATAAGTGACATATTAAATAAATTATACAAATATTCTACAGTTTTTTTCGCTACTTGACCCCCTTCCCCCCCAAAAAAAAATTAAATAGTGGCCTGGTAATGATTTGAATGGCCTGAAAACATTTTGGTACCAAAAAAAAAAAAAAATTGAAATTGGTCCCCGATTTCCGAAACTCATCCAATTCAGATCTATAGATATCTAGCTCGATGTTGAAATTTTCAATATGCCCCTGTAGAACTTCTTAAAATTCTTTTGTTGTGTTTATAATCATTATAGAACTCATAGAAATTGTATCGTTGGTGTATTTGACCCAACGGAATGTATTAGTCTTTTGTTTCAGTTCTTCCTAAATTCTACAAAATGTTAAAATCAATCAAAAATATTTCGGATAATAACAATTCGATTGTTTGTTTCATTAGCTTAGGTAAAATATTGTCTCTTGTCTCAGCGATAAAGGCGATTAGTTTTATTAGTTCGTCATTATTTTCTGGTGGTGTAAATATTACGTCAACAAAATACGAATATTGTTCATTTAATCTAAAAAAATATATGTAAAACAATTTTAGTATTATGAATAGGTTTATGTACTTTATAATAATATTTAACTTAATATTTAAATTTTACTTTTTGTCAATAACTGAGTATGCAGTCTTCATATGAACGATAAGGTCGTTCTTAAGTGTATATTTTGCTTTTTTGTGTAAGGTATAGACGTCTAGTATTGATAATTTCAGTAAAATCAATTTGAAATACCCCTATATTTGCCGTTGGGAGTATGTCAGCCAATATGGCTGAAGAAATTTCATGGTATTTAATTATAGCATGTTTATTTTCATCGACAGAAGTATGGTTTTTGGATAAAAATATTTCCACTTCCTTTTTGGTTAGGTTCTAAACTCTAATTAATTATTGTATTTATTCAAAAAGTGATTCGAGAATCCAACTAAAATTCAGTCAGTGATAAATGATAAATGATAATATAAGTAATGGGTAGATATTAGCTAGAATTACCGAATAGACAGCTTAAACTAGAATTAACCTTTTCAGTTTAGTTGATGTAAAATAATATAAATTATACTTACTTCCAAAAATGGATCTGTATGATAATCATCATACAAGGAATGTTCAATACGTATCAAATTTGACGACATTTCTTCTATCTTCTCACAAATTGACATAATAAAATCCAGTAAACACTCATACGATGGCAGATATCTTAACGAATCAATTCTTTCATCTTTGTAATGAATTTGCATGACGTGAGCAACAAAATTAAAAAAAGTCGACTGTTTTTTCTTGCTTTCCGCGCGTAATTGATAATTTTTTTTTGTATTTTTTCTGAAATGTGAATAAAAATAAAAAATAAATTTAATGTATAAAATAGTTAAATTAAAAACCTAACCTGTTGAAATAATTGTTTCACATGGAAAAACCATTCGCTTCGCATAGCGTCGTTGACAACCTTTGATTTTTCCAATATATAATTTATAAACTCTGTTATGATATAATTTATGTGTTCTTCGTTTAAATTTAGGATAGTTGTAACTATGTAACGAGAAAGTTTTAAATTTCATAATATTTAATCATAATAGCATCATTCATTAATATACCAACTGTATAATACAATTTTGATTCTGATGTGTTAGTCCAGTAAATTTTACCACTTTATAACCCATGAAATTTTGTCTATTATGTTATTTTTATGAGTATTTTGACTTAATGATTTAATTTGTGAAATAATATTTATATGATGTTACTCAATTTGAAATAAAAGAAAAATGATTTGACACCAGTAGGGCATTAATTTGACAGTACCTACCTAGGTAGTTTTCTTAAACGTAAGAAAAAATTACAAAATTTAATGAAATATGACTACATTTTTGGCCAATTAGTTTTGCTTATTTTATTGTAATTCAGACAATAATAACCATAGTGAATAGAAATTTTTAATTTTTATGAATATTATAAATTGGTGTAAAGTTGTAAAGAACATAATTAAAAAAAAATTCAATAAGGTATACTTTTGAATATTTTGTTTATTTATTGTTAAAATGTATACATAGTTCATACTATTTATTAATTAATAATGGATAATGCACCAGTAGGTATCTGTCATGCGCGGGTGGGGGATGGAGGCACTTGTACTCCGGATACCGTGACTTGCCCGAAGAAAAATGCTGCCCATGGCCGAGGTATCAAACCAGCGTCGGTATGCGTCGCAACCGACGCCTTAGTCCGCTCGGCCACTCCGTCACCCTTATAATTTATTGTTTAACAGGCTAACAATCAGTTTTACGA